TTTCTCTTTTCCCCTTGGTGAATTCACCAATTTTAAGAGATTTTTATGGATTCCTTTAGACTTTTGATGTCTAAAGGTCTGTATGATAATCCTTTTTCATCCTGATACTGGTAATTTGCATCTTCTTTCCATTTTCTTTGATAGTCTATTTACTATAGTTTTGTCAGTTCTATTGGTCCAACTCTTTGTTTCAGTGATTTTTCTTTATTTCCCCCATTTTCAATTTCATGTTTCTGTTCTTCATTACTACCTTCTAGTTGCTTTGGGTTTTGCTCTTTTTTCTTTTCTGGGTTCTTGAGATGCAATCTTAGATTATTTATCTGAGGTTTTTCCTCTTTTGTGGTTAGTACTATAAATTTCCTCCTGAGCACTGCTATGTCACACAAGTTGTGATATGTTGTACTCCCACTTTATTGAATGTCCTTTAAAGTGCTTTCTCTACACTTCCCCTTTGTCAAGTGAGTTATTTGCAAATTTGTTGTTGAACTTCCAACTATTTGAAGATTTTCCTATTCTCTTTCAGTCCTTTATTTCTCATTTCTTTGTGATAAAGACATACTTTGCATGATTTCAGCCTTTTAGGTTTGTTGAGGTTTCTTTCATGACACCGGGTCATATTTAATAAACAATAAAAAAAATGTATATTTTCTAATGTTTTGGGATGGAATGTTTTTATTAATTAGATTCTACTGGCTGAGGGTGTTGAGTTGTTCTGTATCCTTGCTGACTTTCTCTCTCGTTTCTATCAGTTTTGTGAGAGGAACGTTGAAGTCTCTAGCAATAACTGTGGATTTGCCTATTTCTTTTTTCAGATCTATCAGTTTTGCTTTATGTACCTTTTAGCTATGTTGATTAGTGCCTACACATTTACAATTGCTATTTAGTTGGTGTATAAAACATATATAATGCGCCCCTTGGTGATTATCTTTGTTCTAAAGTCTTTATTTTTAAACATAATGTTAAAATAGCCACTTAAGCTTTCCTTTGATGAATATTTGTGTAGCATGATTTATCTATTTCCATCCTTTTAACATGCCTGTATCACTAAATTTGAAGTGATTTTCTTATACACGTTGATCACGTTTCTAAGTCTACTCTGGCAGTATCAATATTTTAATTGATATACGTAGATCATTAATTTAGTGTAGTTATTTATATGCTGGGGCTTACATCTGCCATTTTATTATTTGTATTGTTTCTCTTTCTGTATTTTTTTCCTCATCTGTTTTCTTTTTCCTGCTTTCCTGTGGTTTACCTGAACATTTTGTAGAATTCCATTTTGATTTATCTATAGTATCTTTAAATGTATCTACACTATTTTTAAGTTTTACTATGGTATTCTATAGCGTTGTTAATGACTGCTGTAGATATTACATTGTATATACTACTAATCACAATGTGCTAGTATTATCATTTACCAGCAGAGCAGAGAAACTTTCCCTCTCTTTATATTTCTTCCCTTTTCAGCACAATTATGCGAAAAGTTTCTTTTACATAGTTTAGAACCACATCAGACAGTGTTATAATTTGTGCATTCTTGTCAGTGACCTATGATTGTTTCATTTATCATTGTCTTCCCATGTAGAGAACTTCCTTTACCCATTCTTTCAAGGAATGCCTGTTGTTGATACATTCTTTTAGTTTACATTAGCTGAGAATGTTTTGATTTCTCCTTCATTCCTGAAGATATTTTCACTGGGTGGAGGATTTCAGGATAACAATTTTTTTTTCTTTCAGTACTTGAAAAATGTTGTGTAACTTCCTTTTGGCTCTCATGCTTTCTAATTAGAAAAGTGCTTTCATTTTGATTGTTTTACTTTTATACATAATTTATCATATTTTTCTGGCTGCCTTCAAGATTGTTTTCTTTGTTGTTTATTTTCAGAAATTTAATTATGATGTACTTTGATACGATTTCTTTGGGTTTTATCCTTTGTGGGGTTTTACAGTTTATTGTATTTCTTCTAAAATTTTATCTGGTTATTCTTTGTGTCTTCGGTCTCTTTTCTGAGACCTTTATTTTTCATTTTTTTCAATGTGCATAATTGCTGATTAAAGCATTTTATAGTTATTGCTTTAAAATCTTTTTTAAGATCATTCTAATATCTTTCTCATTGTGGTGTTGTCTTCTAGTGATTGTTTCATTTTCTTTCAGTTTAAGATCTTCCTGAATCTTGATTTGATAAGTTCTTTTCAATTGAAATGTGGGTTTTTAAAAATCTTACTATGAAACTCTGGCTTTTCTTTAAATCCTCTGCTTTATCTGGCTTTCTCTAATTTTACTCAAGAAGGGAAATTGGGGGGTACTTCCTTGTTACCACCAGGTAGAAGTGGATGTCTAGTTTCCTCACTCAGCAGCCATCAACACCCAAGGTAGACATAGCCCCTTACCTACTTCTGGGTAAGGGTAGGAGTCCCAACTTCTCGTGTGGTCTCCACTGCCACAGCTCTGAGCTGGTCTTGTTACCACTACATGAGGGTAAGACTCCTGACTTTTATTAAACCTCCTCCAATACCACACCAGCACAGATAGAAAGGATACCTCACTACTGATGGAGAAGGTAGAAATCCAGGTCCCCCATTTGGTCTCCACTGATTCTATCAGCAAAGGCCTCATCCCTGGCCAGTGGGGATAAAAATTCTTGCTTGACACCTGGATTTCTCTGATACACCCAAGCCATGGATATTGTAGTGGCTTGTCACAAGTTCTCAGGAATGGAAACCTGGAGTCCCCAGTCAGTCTTTGCCTGGGCAAAGGTGGGACCACAATTTTTTCTTTAATATTTGGCTGGAGTAGGACAGTTAATTTCTGAAAATTTCCTATCATATTTGGCTGCTCTTTCTTGGTTCTTTAGCTATCAAGAACAGGTTTTTGTTGGGACATTTTAGTCTATATATTTTTGCATTGACAGATTACCAGATTTTTAGCTGTGAGTCTGGGATATATGAAGGAAAATGAAACCCTAAAGAACTTGCTTTTGAATCATTTTCTGGATTTCAAGATCACTAGCTGGTCTTCTTCTTTAGTCTTTCAGGTTCTTCTTATGTTTGTTTTTATAAATCCAGGATTTTTAGTTATAGTACTTAATAAAAAAAATAGGAAAAGTACATCTCCATTTTCTCAGAAGTGGAAATCCAACTAATTTTTGATAGGGTGAAAAGGCAATTTTGTGGAGAAAGAGGACACTTTAACAAATGGTGCTAGAGTAATTATATTGTTACAAACTTTAATCCCTACTTTGCATTATATATAAAATTAACTCAAAATGAATCATAGTCTTAAATTTAATGCCTAAAATTTCTAGAAGAAAACCTAGGAGAGCTTTTTGAGGGAGATGCGCTTGTGGGTGCAGCCAAGCTTTGTTCCATTCGCCACTCCTCCTGACTCACCGCTGTTTGCTGTCACCGAGAAACAAGTCAGTCAGGAAGCCACACTTTAGCCATGTGTGTGTTGACTTGATCAGAGGCGCCAAGGAAAAGAACCTCAAAGTAAAAGGACTGGTCTGCATGCCAACCAAACTTTGAGAATCACCACAAGAAAAACACCTTGTGGTGAAGGTTCTAAGACATGGGATCAGTTCCAGATGAGAATCCACAAGCGACTCATTGACTTGCACAGCCCTTCTGAGATTGTTAAGCAGATTACTTCCATCAGTATTGAGCCAGGAGTGGAGGTCGAAGTCACCATTGCAGATGCCAAAGTCAACTATTTTAATAAATTTAATAACCTGGGTCCATCATTGTGACAAAATATGTGAGAAAAACAACTTAAAGGAGGAAACAATTACTTCGGCTTATGGCTTTAGAGGTCTCAGTTCAAGGTCCTTGGCTACCTTTGAAACAAGGCAGAATATCATAGTGCTGGGAACATGCAGCAGTAGAGGCTACTCACCTCATGACCATCAGGAAACAGAAAGGAGTGAATGGGTCCAGGAACAAGATACACCATTCAATTCAAAGGCACACCCAAGGTGACCTACTTCTTCAGTCAGGCCCCACCTCCTAAGAGCCCATTCAGTATGAACTCATCAGTAGCTTATTCCATTGATTAGTTTAGCACCCTCTGATCCAGTCTCCTTTCAGTAGCATCACCAGCTGGGGACCAAGCCTTCAACACATGAGTTTTAGGATACCATTTCATACCAAACCACAAAACCTTATTGTTCATGCTGCTGAAAATAGCATAGACTCTCCCCCAGCATTCCATCACTAGCACTGTTTTAGCACTTCTCTTATAAAGGAGAGGGAATTTTTAAGGCAACTAAGTAACTGCTGGTATAACTTACAAAATCTTGAATTCTAAAAATAAAGATATCCAAGCAGCCTATGACACTTAGTTTTATAGTTTCTGAGTCTCTGCATGAATGTTGTCCTTTGATATTTTTTCCCCCTGTGCTGGGGATTAAACACAGGGCCTCATGCATACTAAGCCAAGGGCTCTACCAATGAGCTACACCCTCAGCCCTGATTTTTTTTTAATGCTTTCTTTATCATCCCTGCCTCATTTTTCTTCACTTTACCTTTTGTCTTTTTGTCTAATTTACTAAGCCATTTGACATTTACTAGCTAATGACGTCTTGGCTGATAGCACTCAAGAAAGAAGTAGTCAGCTCCAGACCCAGAAAGAAAGGTAACTAAGACCAGAAGGCATTAAAAATAGTCCTAGGGAGTTCAGGATTTTCTCCCTAATATGTTTTATCTTTGGTCTGGTCACTTTTTCTTTTCCTTTTCTCAAGCACATTTTCTGTTGTCTACAAGGAGGAATACTTGGGGGGGTGGGGTTGTAACTCTCATATATCTTTATGTTTTGAAAATATCATTATATTGTCTTTACCAGCTATAAAAACAAAATACATCCTTGAGGCTCTTGTTGTTTGGCTTTACCACCTGTTCCCATTTTTGTTGTCTTCACCTATCTAACTAACATCTAAAACTTATATATAACATATTAGTGTGTAGGCTGTGGTAATCGGATTTTTCCAACCCCTTCTCCCCATCAGGACTAAATGAAGAAGAGGAGAAGAAAAAAGAGAAAAGCAAAGAGAAAGTCAAATTGAAGAAAAAGAGGAAAAGGTATTTTTAACAGCACATTTGTCAAAAAATTAAAAATTAGGATGTTAGTCCAGGAAGGATTATAAAATTTTATTTTTCATGTATTTGTAGTCTATATTTTTAAGTTTTAGAATGGTATCTAAGCTTTAAATGGATACATGTCTTCATATGTATTTCATATGTCTCCTCATACAGATGAAGTTAGAACTTAAATACTGTATTTTCATAATACATTACCATGACTAAGAAATTAATTTATTAATAGAACTTGTCAAGCTAAAAGTTCCTTCAAGTCTTTCAGAACTCTCACCAGCTACCTGTGAATTTTTATTATTAACTCTCTTAGCAACTAACTGGTCAAGTAAGTCAGTCAAGAGCAGTAAGAGGCAAATTTTAAAGAGTATAGTTTCATTCACACTAGAATAAATGTATACATTAGACATTTTATGAAGCACTTGACCATAGATAGGTCTAGTTTGGATCCAGTTTTCTTACAGAGTAGGCTCTGTACCTCAAGTGTTATTACTTTATAGTTTTTATAGAGCATTTAATTACATACATTTGAATGCCTCAGGTAACATAAATTGGAAAAGTTAGTTCACTTGCAGGTATTAGGAGTTGAATGACAATCTTTTACATAAAAACTGTTAGGAACATAGAGCTTGGGATTTCTGACTGGTGTATTGTTGACTTATTTATGCTAGCCCAGCAAGGTAGATTGATTACAAGAAACATGAAATGATGTATTTTCTTAGACAGGGTCTGAAGTGAAATTAATTTTCTATGCATTTAGCAATAGTGTCACATAATAATGTGCTCCCCAGAGACTAAAGTTTTGTCATAAAAATGAGAATCCAGGACCAAGAAGTCAAAAACAGACAAAAATGTGTAGGCATAGAAGCTCTGGTCAGAATCCAGGGGTCAAATCAAATAGGATATATAAAACAGGAAATCCCACAGTATTTGACAACAGCAGAGTTAAAGAGGGAGCACAAATAGGTGAGAAAATAAGCTTAGCAGATGGTCAGAAGTCTAAGTAAGCAGAGAGGAAGAGAAAAGGAGGGCGGTGAGGGAAAACTCAGAGTCAGATCACACTTGTGGCACATAGTTGCTTGAAACATCCCAATAGTTTTGGTTTTTTCCCCTTATAGTAGTGAGGCTTGAACTCAGGGACTCATGAATGCTAGGCAAACATTCAACCACTGAGCTACAGCCCCAGCCACCACATAGTTGCTTGAAACTTTGTAGCATCATGCATTTTTCCCAACTCCCTCATAGCTCTCTGACTCAGTTTTTCTTAGTTTGAGTTTTACCTCCTAGTTCAGTGATTTAGTTCACTGAACTAACTTTTAAGATTCCTGTTTTATTTTAAATTACTTCAGTTTCTGTCTTGTCACATGTATTTTGGGTTTGGGTATAGTTAGAATTTTATGCCTCTCTATATAAAATCTTAAAAGATTTATTTTTCTGCTTTTTTAAATTTTCTTTTTCTATATCAGGGAAGGTATTTCTATGTTTTTTACCCAATCGCTTGTTAGAGTGATTTTAAAAAATAAAGTATAATGATAAATCATCCTCATTCCTTTATATAGAGTATTCATTTAAAAACATCCTTTCTGTAACTAATGAAAATTATTTTGTAATGCAAGTGTTCATCTGTACTCACTCTGCATGTAGAGGGATCAAGTACATTAACATGAAAAAAATCAAAGGAATTATAAAAGTGCTTTTACTTTGTTAATGTTTAGCTTTCATCCATTTATACTAAGGTATAATTATATCCTTTTATATGTATGTATAATTTCATCCTTTGTGGCTCTTGTAAGGAAATATGCTAACAAGTTACTATACACAAGAGAATTGTATGTATAATGAGGGTTGATGAGTACTGCTTTGTTTGCCTTATAAGATTTTGAAGGATAGTACAGAATGAAAAAATGAAAATCACAGAGAAATAATTTCATCCTCACTGAATTTGAGGCTTATTGTTAGAGCTGAGCAGAATAGAAATGGTAGTTTTGTCAGTTTCTGTTACCAAACAGCAAAAATTCTAAATTCAGCATTTTAAGAGGATACAAAGCACATTTTGAGTTTCTTTATGTTTATGTTCCCTCCTCATTCCAAGAAAAATTGAAGGCAGTTCAAATCTGATCATAATGCAACTTTCATCAGCATGTGTTACTGCCCATAGGTCTTGTTCTAGTTCCACTGAAGAGGACTCTTCAAAACAAAAAAAACAAAAATATCAGAAGAAAGAGAAGAAAAAAGAAAAAAAGAACAAATCAAAAAAAGGAAAACATCACAAAAAGGAGAAAAAGAAGAGAAAAAGGGAAAAGCATTCTTCCACTCCTAATCATTCTGAATTCACCAAAAAGTAACTAAAACTTTGTTCTAAGTCAAGAAATTTAAATTTTCATTTAAAAAATTATTTGCCCTTCTTTAGAATTTGCTATATAATTATGCATTGCAATAAATCCCAGCATTTTCCATATGGACATTTTTCCTATGTGGGACCATTATGCCTGCCCATAAGTACTAAATCAGTCTTGATACTTGATAACCATGTCTCAAGTATAGATATTTGTACATACAAAATACATCACCTTTGGTATTTGTATCTCTGTGTGTTTGGCTAGTGTTATGGCTTTGTTGTGGTCAACACAAGTAACCTTCCTAGCAATTAATGACTGTGCTGAACCAAGTGTCCACCTTTTAGTAATGCAGCTCGGTATGAGGTAGTGATTTGCTCTTGATACTGAAAATTTTAATAGCTTTATATACTACAATGTAAGGATAGCGAAATTCTTTACTATTCTTAGATCTCTAGGCTTTTTTAATATCATAGGAGATAAAGCTGCTTTACTGGTCTTGAGTACTAGTTTTTAAATGAATGGTGTCTGCAGGAAGATAATAATGAAAACATTTATAACAGTTTCATTGTTTTATAGAAGTGCAATTTCTAGGGATGCCTCCTTTGTTTTTGTAACAATTAAAATAATTTCTTCCTTGTTTAAAGAGACTAGTTCAGCCTATTAGAAAGTCTGACAGAGATGATACAGTGTTGGTCAGGATTTTTAGGATAGACTCCTGGGTTGTTTTACAAATGTGCCATATTGGCATGTCTTACAGTGATACCTCAAACGCAGAAATTGTATTTAGGAAGACAGTAAAATCTTCATTAGGAATGATTTTTATTGTATTTCGTATATAAATTTTATGAAACTGTTGATGAGTAATGTCAGATTTTTTTATAAATGTTAGCATATATATTTCTTTTGTCTGAAATAATTTATAGTTTTGAAGCAAGTTTCACACTGAACTTCTGGTTTCATAAATAACCAGTTTAAGGCATTTCTCTTTTACTCCAGTCACAGATCTCAGTAGCAGTGACAAAATTTAGAATTAAGAGTTTTATCCTGTACTTTTTAAAATTGAAGAGCCAAGGAGTTGTATCATGAATGCCTTTTTATAATAATGGAAATTTTATATGAGTAAGCATTTTCAAACTCATGTTAGTATACATAAATGTTTCTTACCTTTTTATTTTCATGGTGATAGTATTACATAATTTGCTTAATATTTGGCATTCTTTATGCTCAATAAATTAAACACTTTAATGTTGTAACAGCACTGAAAATCAACCTGTTAACATGACACGGCACCAAAGATTGCAAGTACCTCACTGTGGTGCACTTACAAATTTCAAATTGGTAACCTACAGATATGGCTGCAGTTGAATTCATGACGGTGAAATCAGGTAGGTGCATGTGACTTGCTGACTGGAAAGGCTTACTCATTCTTCCTTCACCTAGCACCCTGTCTGGCATGCCCTGAATAAGGTTCGGGGGCCTCATAACTCCTCTTGATATATGCTTACCTGTGTTCAAATTTTAGGGACGCTGCACCCAGACCCCATCTTACCATGGCAGCCATGAAAGCTCTTTCGGCCACCTCAAAATAAATTCTTTTATTTAAAGAGTTCAGTCAGTTTTTTGGAAAAAAACATAGAACAATTAGATTTTTAAGTCTTTCCTAATTTATGAAAATACAATTGTCATAATACAGTTGTCCAGACTTAAAAAAAAAAAAGAAGAAAGAAAAAAAGAGCTTTTCCAAAAATGATTGTCAGATACTACGTAAAGAAGATGGCCTCATCCCATTGGGTGTGTGCCATGGTTAATGATGACGGTAGTTGTAGGAAAAATTAATCAAGTTATTTTTAAGTTTTACTTCTGTTAATTATAAAACTTATAAATTGACTCATTAGGTTTTTTTCCCTGGTGACCTGATCCAGAAGAATTATATAAAGTAAGCCCTTATTACCTAATATAGAAATGAAAGAGTTTAATGGATCAGTAATTTTTCTCCCAAAAATAATCTTAGAATTATTCTAAAGTAAATTTTCCATAATATTATCACGGTTTATAAAATATCTCATCTGAATAAAAGTCATTTATTTTTACTAAAGTAAGATTTATTATTATTATTATTATTGAAATTGGATGCAAATCTCACTAATACATTTTAGGAGAAAATTCATGAAATTTCTTTCTAGGCAATAGGAAAGAAAACTGAATTTAATAGAATCCAGAAGTCCTGTCCATTCTCACTACCTGTGTCACCCACAACAAAGTCTTTGAACTTCTCTGGGCCTTCGTGTCTTTTACCTATACGATATTGTACTGATCTCTGAAATCCCTTCTAGTCTTTCATGTTATCAACATTTTAGTAAAATTCCAGTAATAGTCATTTTAGAAATTACCATAGATAAGCAGCTAGCATTCTGTAATAGTAAAGGTTGAATTTATTAATAAAAGTGCTAAACACATCAACTTCTTTAAGCAGATAAAAGATATTTGGTTCATTGTCTTAATAGCCAGCGTATATCATTTTCACCAGATACAGACAGAATTTATATTTAGATTATCATCTGTAACCAATTTATCTGAACACTACTGTTTTTAGGCTAAGCTTCCTCCTCATTTCTTTTCTCCATATTATATGTTGGCTAAAAACTCTGAGGTATTTTTAGTTCTTTATACTTAGTACAACTCCATTTATATTTCAGTTCTTTAAGGCCAGAGCATCAATAAATGAGAAGTAAAACAGTTGTATGTTTCTGTATTTACTGCTCTGTCTAAATTTATGTTATTTTAGGTGAACGAGTTATTAAGTGTTGATAAATTACCATTGACTCCTCTGTTTAGCAAACATTTATTGAGTGCCTAGCACAGCAGACTGCTAAAAAGTAAAGATACCATTATACAAAAGACACATTTGCTACCCAGAAAGAGTTCACAGTCTAGTTGGTAGGAGAAACATCAGAACACAGCATTATGTAATAATTGACCTGAACATGGAATTAAAGAAACAGAGGGTCACCTAATCTAGTGGGAGAAAGTAATGTCTGGATTGCATTTTGATTGAAGATGTGTATGTGTGTGGGGGATTCCCTGACAAAATGAGTACTGTAAACAAAGACCACCTAGAGAAAAAGCTGAGTTAAGTGCTTATGAGAATTATAAGCACACTGGTGTTACTCGTCTGTCATATATAAAGTAGGAATTGATAAGAATTGAAGCTGCCATTTTAGATTCTTGGATCAAGAAAAGAAGGTCTTCTATTCCATATTTGGGAGCTCAGACTTTAATTTGAAGCAATGAGCCATCATTAAAGAATGTTAAGGAACAAAATGACTTATTGAGGTTTGGTTTCATCCCCTTCATAATACTAATCTACAGTTTTTAAAAGATGGAATTGCTGTCATTAGATGGCCACATAGAAAACAGTTTTATTATTTTATACTCTATTGTATTCATCTTCTGGATCCAGAATTATACGGTGACTTATATTGCCTAAAAACACATAATGCTCTGCTGTATTCTTTATTAGACCCATTCTTAGAATTATAAGCATATGTATATTTCTTGAAATGTGTGTTTTAGTTTGTTTTTGACAGGCTTAAAATAAATTGCCACTACATTAGCACTTATTTGGTCCAAATAAATCATTTTAAATATATTTTTCAGTGTACACACTGTGCTATACTTTGATAAGACTTTTTGCTTTTAGTGTTTTAATTTATGAAGCACAACTGCTTCAGAGTTACAGAGACATACCACTTGGAGCACTGGAAGAGCCCTGTGGCTCTTCCTCAGAAATCTAGTGGTACGATACCTCAGCAGGGAGCATGTCAAGTCTGCAGCTGATCCAGGTGCTGGGATTCAAACTTTCTGAGCATTCTGTCCAAGAGCAGTAGGTTTCTTATACTAGTGTGACAGTAACTCCAGTTGTCAAACCAAGTCTTTCAACCTTGCTTGTCTCCTCTTCACTCCTCTAAAAGTACAGAGCGTAGCAGAGAATTGCCCTCTCCTAGGGCAACCCATGACATATCCAGCCATGCCCAGCCCCAGTTTGCCTCTCCCACAGATTGAGAGGAGTCCGGGTCGATGAGTGTTTTCTTGGTCCCAAGTCTAAACTTCCTGCTTCTTGTGTCATTTATGGCATCTGCCCCTTGCTTTTGAGCAACAAAAGTAGAACTGAACCAGTGCCTTAGCTAAATTTTCAATCTAGATTTTCACCTGAGACAATGTAGTGATATAATTGTTAATTACTATATATATCAAAATAGCACATTTTCTTTTTTTTTAAATCAAAGCAGTGTAAAAGTTCAAAAGTACTCACAAAAGTTCTAAACTTCCACAAAAACAAATGAAAGTTCTTTGCTTTTATGACCTTGCAAAATGTCATTTCTGTAATGGAAATAGCTTTCAAAACAAGTGCACTCTAAGAAATCATAATATTTAAACCTTGGCAAAATAGTGCTCCTTTTGAATGGCAAGTCCAACTCCAGAACAGGAGGATGGTGTGACAGTGATCTGGGACGGCTTCCCTCGATGCAGACACGTTGTTATTTAAGTCAGTAAACTTAATGAGATAAACATTTATTTCTTCATTGTAATAGCCACATTTCAAGAATTTTAATGGCCTAATGAAAAGTTTCCAAACCTGAGCTTTGCATACCCAAGTACATGGCATTCCTTTTTTTTATATCTGACTAGAGAAGCTGTGTCCAACACATTCTGAAAGACTAGTCTGACTACAAAAACCTTACACAATGCAGTAGATGTGTACAGCATAGCTGGCTTGAAATGATTCCTTTTCTCTGTTGTATTCCATTATAAAGTCAGATCTGAGTTCTTATAATAGAAATGGATAAAAATCTTTGAAAACATTTATAATTTGCAGGAATTGGTTTTCTTCCAGATGTCTACATAGTATTAATGCGATAGCATGAGATGAGCCAGAGAAATTTGTTTTATACCTTTCGTTACAGAGATTCTTCAGGAAATTTATCAGCAAAGTATCTTTGTTAAAGTTGCCCCTTGAAAAACAGAAAATTATTGTATTTACACTTATTGTGCAGTGTAATGTTTTGTTATTGAATAGTAACAATAATATATTGTTTGTGTCCCTGGGAAAACCTCCAAAAAGGTAGGGGTTGATTTAGAACACACTTAAGAACATGACACCTCTAGTTTATAAGACAATTCCCCCAAAGATTTACCAGTCCGGTGCCATTTCTTATAAAAGTAGTTGCCTGTATTAAAAAATTGTGAAATGCTAGTAATGTAACAAACTCAGTGTTCCTCACTGAGATTTGTTTATCTGAGTTATTGGCAAATTCCTTAATTTCTCCTGAAGAATTTGCATAATTTCGTATAATACAAAGACATCTTAACAAACAAAAGTAAACTTAAGCACGTGAAAAGCTATCAAAACCCTAATGTTTAATAAATTAATTGATTAAAGATGCAGCTGTGTCTTGCTTTTGTGTATAGTGAATATTGAAAAGGCAGTATCGGAAATTATGGTTTGAAATGCATTCTTTATTCTTATTGCCCCATCTCCAGTAAGCTTTTGAAACACAGGATTTTTCATAAATAAGCAGTATTGATTTGAGTTGAATCCATTGTTTTTTCCTGAATTATATCATCCGCTTCATAGGATGTTTCATTTGTTGAATTTGATGCTGTGTTTGAAATGAGAGCTTTGGTTTTGCTACTTAAGTTGCCTGCAAGTACACAAAACAAAATGAAACAATTATTTAAAATTAAGACATAAAATTTGACTTTTTAAGTTTGTGCTTAAATTCTTGTAGCAATATTAAAAATATATTTTGAAAACACTATATGGGTCATTTCAAGGTTGCTTTGAGTCATTCCTCCTAAAAGTTAAATAAGGGAAATAGTCACAGGAATAAAAATTTCATTTCCATGTGTTTTCTCCATGCTTCTTTGAGTAAACTACACAGTTCATAAGAAGATGACATTTTCTGGGTCACTTCATAAAAGAATGGCTGTCCCTGTCTTATGCATGAAGTGAACAAACTGCATTTATGCCAGTCATACTAATTGGCAATAATCTTAAGGCTTTGTCATCATATGCAATTTAGATGTGCTTTTAAAAAAAATTATGCCATAGCCCCATTCATACACTGTGTATGTTTAAACTTCTAAATTTTTAATACTGCAATTACTGAAAACAAATATTGGTGAATTCAAGTCCTTTGTGTTTCTGAAGCCTTTTACATACTTAAATTCATAATATTTGAGTTAGATTTTCAAATATGTTTTTGTGTCTTTCTGTTGTTTACTTTTTCCTACTTCATCACATCCACTTTTATTTTTTATGAAGAAAAAAATCTTAGGATGTTATTTCCTAGCCTAGTTATTTTGGGGCTCTAAGTCATCTCCATTCTGACCGCTCTAGTTTTCATTACATATTTCTCTGGCAACAACTGAAGGAATTTATCTAACCTCTGTATTGCCCTCTGAGGTTTAAAGGCTTTCAAATAAGTCCAGTATTACAGATTTTTCTTTCCACTGGGACTTGTAAAGACCCTCATTCCCCAGTCCTGACTCACTCATTGTTCACTTGCCTACTGGGTCCTTCTGTTGCATCTGGAGACCTGAGGCAGATGAGTGAGCATCCCATCCCCCATGGAGAGCACTATCATTCCTATCCTGAGGAGATGGAGGCCTGCATTCCTGCATCCTAAAGGAGAGATACAGAGTCTGATAGATCTGCCACAGAGCTGATGAGCAAAGTGCTCTCAAGATTGTTTCCCCTCCCCCAATGAAGGTGCAAACCAAACCAGTTCACCTGAGAAAGCCCTTGAAATGCCTGGCCAATGAGAAACCACCCCTAACCCAGAGTTGAAATGTCCATAAAGACCCCAGCCTTCACCTGTGCAGTGAGCCATGGGCTTCTGGGCTCCGCTGCACTTCTCTAGCTGTAGCCTTTCCTTTCTTTCTAATAAATCCTACTTTATATATTGGCTTCAGCTCATCATTCAGCTGCCTCACAAGCCAGTTCTCTGGCCTGTGACGGCAAGGACCCTCGACACCAGCACGTAACATTTTGGCGACACACAAGGGGACCCAATCTCTTCTAAACCAAGGTTGGTATAGGTTATGCCAAACTGGAAAAGTTGCCTAGGAATGTGACCATGAGTGTCCAGCACTCCAATGGAGTCTGTTTTCCAGGAGAGACCCCCCTCCCACCATGGCCTAGCTATGGTGGAATGCTCAGGCCAACTCTCTCTCTCTCTCTCTCTCTCTCTCTCTCAGGGAACTCAGATGCCAGGTGGGGGATTTATACCACACTGCCAATGCTACGTGGGCAGAGTCCGGCTTCAGTGCATTGAGACTTTTTCTTTTTCCTCTCCTTAAACTATAACTCTCTCTCGTTCAAGATCTGACCTGCTTAAGAGGAAGTCTGAAAACAGCTGGTGGAAAAGAAAGTTTGTCTTCAAGCCATAAAAGGTGTTCTGGCCAGGGCACTCCCCAGTGTCACCCAAAGGCTGGCGATGCAATCTCCACCCTGAGGCTCCAAAGGTGGCTAAGTCTCGGATCCCTCCAGCCATGCCCGAGGCAAACAGACAATCAGATCTCTCATGCTTCCTTCATGGTTTCTGTGGCCCAAGAGTGGAGGTCACCCCTTGCTTCCAGTGCTCCAGTACTGCCCTTGAGCAGGATCGACCTGGACAGCAGGAATGACCAATAATTTCTCATGCGTTGAGCCTGGAAAGTCTGTTTTTCCCCAACCCTCAGCCTCTCCTTCCTCTTTCCCAAGCAGTTCAGGATGAATAGCCTCACCCTTTTATTCTAAATAGCTGTGGGCTTCCTTCAGTGAGTTTGGAGAATACACCCGTTCTGCTCCCTCTCTGGTCTCACCTTGTCCTTTATCTCTGTCTTCCCTTCTCTGGGTTTACTGGTATCCTGGCTTCCCATGAAAAACCTGTAGCATGATATCTTATGACTTAAGTTATTCCAACTAGTTTGCCAGGAGGCCTCTCAACTTTAAATCAGCTGCTAGACACCAGGCAGACAAAAGCACTTACAAAAAACTGCAGCTGCCACTCACACCCTAACTCTGTCCCCACAAGGGGAGGAGGGAAAGCAAAAAGGTGTGCTCGTGCCCCTGGGCACAACAGGAATGCCTGCCATACCTAAGAGGATCCATAGAGAGGACCCAGCACACATCCAAAGTTGCCAGCCACAGGGACTGTGACCTGCCACCACTCCTTCTAAAAGGGATGATATAAAAATAAACATGCAGGCATGTGTACACAGGAAGGAGGAAGGACAAGAGGCTGCAGGATAGGATCGCTCATCCCGGGCGTGGGAGGGGGCAAGGGCGCTTTGCTCAAGCCCAGTTCCCGGCCCCACCTTACGCCTTGGGCCTGACTGGCCCAGCTGTTGTAAGCCAATTGTTAGCTCAAGGTTATAGTTCCAGAAATAGCAAAATGGGCATTACTGTGGTCTCTAAACTCCTCATTTAAGGTTTTCTATACTTTTGGGCTCAACATAAAAACTTTCCCTCCAAATATTAGCACTAGTCATCCCTTATGGTATTGTTATTGCCCCAGGATGCCCTCTGAATGCCCTTCTCTAACTTTACAGATAAAGTATTCCTTTGTTAAAAAGGTAGCCTTTATTAAAGAGGCTGCCTGCTATTAGCTAAAAGGATCCTAATGTTTTGGGTTTTTTTTCTCTTCTCACTGCGTCAGTTGGTCTAACCCGACCAGTTCACTTTCCCCAGTCCTGACCACGGATGGGGGGAAAGTCACGAGACAGAGACACCTAGTGTCACTGGTAAGGTCATTCCCAGTCAGGACGCTGACAAGAAGGGAACTGGCCCAGTTAATTGTTGTTGTTGCCTTTCTAGATGGGACCTGCCCCTTCCAGTCTTCTGGCCCCTGTCTATTGAAACGTTGAAAGGAAATGTTGGAAGCTTTGTACTGAGGCCAGGCCTCGGTACACAGACTGGATACTCAGACACTAGCCATTCTTTGTAAGCCACAGGATAAACATGGGAAAGGAGAACCAAAAAAGCTCCTGATCAATGACAAGGCCCACCCCTATTGCTCCACCCTCTGCCCTACCTTCTAAGCCACCCCAATATTCAGAACCTCCTAATGGGTGCTTCCCCTTCAAAAGGTAATGGTAGGAAGAGGGCAAATCTATGTCCCCCTCCAGTTATCAGATCTAAGGGGAAAAAAGACAAAAGAAAACATCTGGACACCTATACTGATGCCCTAGACAAATACATTCAAGCCTTTATCTCTGTGATCCAAACCTTTGAATTGACATAAAAGGAACTCTTTCCTCATTAGAAAAGCAATGTGTTCTGGCCCAGGCCACTCAGGTTGGAAATGATTACCATTTACAATGAGCCCCAATACCTGTGGCACCTAAAAATGAGGGAATAAATGTGCCTATACCCACAGGGGCACAGGCAGTCCCCTTGACAGATCCACACTGAAAATCAGAATGGTAAAGAGGGCTGGTGGTGTGACTCAAGCAGTACAGTGCCACTTTGCAGGCATAAAGTCCTGAGTTCAAATCTCAGTACAGCCAAAGGAAAAAAAAGATATTTGGGGATGGGGCTAAACTCAGTGGGAAAATGTCTGCCCAGCATTGTGCAAGGTCCTGGGTTCAATTCCCCAGCATTGCTAAATCAAAAAAAAAAAAAAAAGGTGAGGAGGATAAATGGCGTCAACACCACTTACTCCATCTCATAGTGGAAGGGCTAAAAAGGACCAAAGTCAAACCTCTAAACTATTCCCAAGTGACTGTAGTAGAAGTCCCTGAAGAAAACCCTTACCTTTCTACAGCATCTTAAGGATGCTATCAGAAAGCATACCACAGGGGACCCAAAGTCACAGGTGAGAGGTTCTCCTCAAAGATAAATTTCTAACAGTCAGTCCCAGATAATCGTAAAAATCTCAGACTGTGGATGATGAGAAAAATCATTGGACCAATTAATGTAGCTAGCCATGTCTGTATACTATAACCAGGACATTACTAACAGAGAGAAGGATAAGAGACATCATGACCTCATTGCTGCTCTCAGAGAGGGCCTCACCCAACTGGGGCCTATATCCTGAACTTGCTACCATGGTGGACAGGAGGGGCATTTCTGCAGAGAATGCTTAAGGGGGGCAGCCCAGGAGACAGCCCCACCCCCAACTGGGACCCTGCCCTCTCTGCAAAGGTAACCACTGGAGGTCTAAGTGCCCCCGTCTCCAGATGAAAGGTGAGGTGCCACCTCCTATGGATTGATGGGTTCTGGGACTCCTGTCCATGCTCCACTTCTTGGCATCCATGTTGAGGAGCCTTGGGATAGCCATAATGGCAGAAAAGCAAAAGGTCATTTTCCTGTTAGACAGTGGAGTACATTTCTCTGTCTTACCTTTCTCTCTGGGTCCCCAGTCCAATGACAAAGGTGATCGTTTGGGGCAAATCTGGCCAGCCCCTACAGCGCTACTTTACCCAGCCTCTGGCCTGGTCTTGGGGAGACCGCCTCTTCTGTCATTCTTTCCTCACAGTTCCTGAAACTCCAGTGCCCCTGCTGGGACTGGATTTACTATCTCAACTAAAAGCTCAAATTCTCCCCACTCCCCCCAGGCAGCTATCTCTGCTGCCCCCTCCTTCAGGAACAAGTAGATTCCACAATGTGGACTGATGAGATGAGTGTAGGGCAAGCCAAGACAGCTCTCCCTATTCA